AGTATGAAAACTGACATTTGATTTTCTCCCTCTGCGATGTCATTCCTCCTTCGTTCCTCTCCTTCCCGGTGTTCTGTTCCCTCTCCTCTAGACAAAACAAAATGGGGCACTTTGTAGGGAATGCTGAGATCATTATTGTGGTTTTTCATCATTCATGCCCTAGTCATTAAACATGCACCACTGGAATGTAAACAATGTTATCTAGTATGTCAATTGGTTATAATATTTTAAATAAAAAAAAAAGTGGTATGAAAGTTATGAAATTAAGAGTTTTTTTCATTGAAAACAATCTGTTTGTGGCAAAGTTTTTCTTGGCAATTTTAGGATTGCCTGTGGATTGGGATAAAAGGGCTATTGCTAGGACTGGTTCTCAGATTTGGATTTTATACAGATTGTGAAGAGCCTAAACTATCACCCTGGTTATCTGGTTGATCTGGTCTTGCATCTTTGGTGTTTGAAATTGCTGGATAAACTTTATCTAAAAAAGAAACTTTGCTTCAATGCCCTTAACCTAGTTCTTGGTAAACATGTGAGAGAACAACCATCATGACCACTTGGCAAAAATAAGTACTTAAAATTGGGGTCTGTTTCAAAACAAGCAAGAGATTTTAGCTTTGAGTGTTTCCAGCTTTTGCCATGCTTATTTCCTCTTTGCCTACATTGGGTGTGCTGCCGTGTGGGAATACAGGGCCCCTGCTGCATACGGTCCCAGCCGCTGTGATGACACCGCTCCATCTTGCTCAGTTCCCTCCAGATGACCCTTGTACCGTGCTGCCTCTGCCCTCACCTGAACTCACACTGCCTTTCTCTGAGGAGCGGAGAGGAAGAGGCCGCCCTCGCTGCCTGTGGCTGGCTGCTGAACTGTTTCATCACTGTCATACACATGCCTCCCAGGAGAAACGGTGGCAAAAGCAAGTGTCAGAGTGTGGAGTATAAACTTATTTTTTTCATTTTCGCCAGTTGTATAGTGGAGTAATTCATCCTTGTTAATTTAGATACTTTTTTTTTAAGTATTGTTCCTAAAAAGGTATGTATTTGATGTAAGTGAAGATTGATTTGTAGTGATTCTGTGGTTTAAAAAAAAATTGTTTTAGCTGTTATAGGTTATAGACCAGTATTTCTTTGGACTTCACTTGAAACCAAAAGATAATTTCAAATATGCTTTGTAAAGCTTAGGTTTCTGTCTAACATGTACTTAATTTTATTAATTAATGGAAGCACAGGTCTAACACCTGAGCTGGAAGCTGGGAATAGGAAATAGAAAATGGATGACAGAGTCTTGAAATGGTGTGTATAGAGGAACAAGGGCCTGGCCACAGGGATTGATAGAGGAAATGACAGGGGTTTCCCAGAGAAGCTGCATTTTGAGCCTTGGCATAAATAAGGGGAAGGGAAGGCAAGCAGATTTAAGTGAGTGCATGAGCAAACAGTAAGGAATGGCCTGGTTTGGGTGTGGGCACAGGGAGAAATGGAGGAAAGACACATTGTGGTTTGGAATTGAAACAAGCTGAGGATCAGCCCTGAAAACATGAGGAATTGTCTGATGTTTTTACCTAGAAAAGTTTGACTGTGATAGGAACCCATGGTAGTTTATGAGGAGGAAAAGGAGTATTATGACCCGACCCTTGTTTTAGGGCCATCACTGCCAAGAGAAACAAATCCAGTTAGGCCGGAGGTGTGGAGATTGATGACTGAAGGCAAAGATACCCAGGTGAGAGCAGCAGAAATGAAGGAGAGGGACTCATTTAGATGTGTTGCCGTGACACAGGTGAAGTCGCCAAGATTAGGGTTTGGAACGGGGAAGGCTGTGAGCCCTAGCGATTGGGCAGCACACAAGACATGCTGCAAGGAAAAAACATGCAATGTGTTTTGCAATTTGTATATCTCAGTTTGAAGTGTCCATGGCAGAATGCATGTCAGGTATGGTATCAACTCCCAACTTCCAGGAGTGGGAGAAAGGGAACCATTGCTGTGCTCCCTCACCTGCCTGTAGACCTCTCCGATGCGGTAGTTTCTTTCCTCGTGAGGTCTGTGTCATTTGTTTGTATGACCCTTGCATTGTATTTGTTAGTATCATTTTGTGGACAGAGGAAGATAATGGAAATACTCCTCTTTTACATACCACAGGTAAGACGTTAGACCTGGATAGGTGCAAGTGGGGCCTAATTCAAGTGAGTGAGTAGCAAAGCAGGTAGTGAAAAGGACTGGAAAACTTGGTTGGAAATCTAAAGAAGAGATCATGACCGTGCCTTGAGAGAAGTGAGGGGTAGACTGAAGAGTTTAAAGGGAGAAACCAAAGGCACATGTGTCTTTATGGGACAGGGTCCTGGAAAGGTTGGGATCTACGGGATCATGCAGGTCCAGATGAGCTTAGTCAAGACAGAGAATTTAGGTCACCTCGGACAAGTGTCAGTCTGGCTGAGCCATGCCTCTACTGTTACTTGATAGCAGCCTGTGTTCTCATCTTCTGATGCCTCACTCTGGGATCCCCTGGATGGAAGAGGCTGCCCTACTGGAGATAATGCCTCGTGAGTAGGTGTTCCATAAATGGGCTGGGTAAGCTAATGACTAGAGCCTATCTTTTACACCATTTCTGTCCTCTGAAAATGCAATATTCATGGCCCTCAAAGTGTGGCATAAGGGCACTGCATGCAACGCTGTGATACTACAGTGGTGTGGGCATGGACTCTGGTGCCAGATACCCAGATAGCATCCTGCCCTCACTGGCTGCCTCACTTCCCGCAAGTGCCTCAACTCGGGCTGTGCTCTGTCATGTGTCCTGTGGGAAGCCTAATGTCACCTGGCAGTGTGGCTCAGAGGATTCAGCGTGTGCATGCAGGGCCAAGGCTGGCGAGCGCTCGGTGAGTGCTGGCTGCTGCTGTCATCCTGACTAGCACCAGAATCAGTTCAGCACCCGGTGTGCGGGTTCCTCAAGCAGCTGTCCCTCATGTCTGTCTGAATGGAGTTCTGTCTCTAGGCAAACATACTCAGAAGTGTGATGTGAACCCAAGGCTGTGTTTCCCTCCATTTGATGTGCTGCAAGGAAAAGATGTTCTAGAACCTGGAGCCGCCCCACTCCCTGGCTCCAGTGTACAGCAGAACCAATGAACCCACATGCTGACCCTAAGGCTCCCCATCCCCATGGCCACAGCCACTGCCACCACCAGGCCTGGGCCCAGGGACGTGCTTTACTCCTCAGCCCCCCGTGGCCCAGACGCTGCCCCTTGTCTCCTTTTACCACAGAGGACAGACATTTATCAAAAGTTCACTGAATGAAGGGAAAGGAAATACAGAAAAACACGTCTCGGCCGGGCGCAGCGGCTCAAGCCTGTAATCCCAGCACTTTGGGAGGCCGAGGCGGGTAGATCATGAGGTCAAGAGATCAAGACCATCCTGGTCAACATGGTGAAACCCCGTCTCTACT